GATGTTGGGAGTGAAACACAGGTTTGGAACAGTGTACCATCCTCAATCTCAAGGGAAGGTAGAGAGGATGAACTTAAATTTGAAAAACAAATTATCTAAAATCTGTGCGCAGACAGGGCTAAATTGGATCTCAGCTCTGCCAATTGCTCTAATGACTATAAGATGCTCCGTTTATCAATCCACAGGGTTTACGCCACATGAGTTGCAGACGGGAAGGCCGTTCCCAGCACCCTGGACCGAGGTCCCGATGGAACCAAGCACCAGGAGTAACAGGTCTCATGCAGAATACTGGAAAGAATTAAAAGCTCTTGTCTCCAGTTTCACAAAGCAGGTCACCTCTGGAGTACACGCTGTGGACAGGGCGACCCCGGAGGCAAAGGTGGTGTGGCTGAAGGTGCTCAAACGAAAGTGGAAGGAACCACGCTGGACGGGTCCTTACGAGGTCATTGCCAGAACGACTACAGCAGTTCAACCGAAAGGGAAAGGCGACACCTGGTACCATTGGTCGCAGTGTGCACCCGCACACGAGAGCTTGGTAGAGGAAAACTCGTCTTCAGCTAACACAGGTGTCAACAAACAGAGGCAGAATAAACCCTCTCACCTGTGCAACGGGCTGACCAGTAGTCCACCTGGAAGGCCGAAGAAAGAAGAAGAGCATCGCAGAAGGTCGCCGCGCCACCAAAAGGAGCGGTAACAAATTGAAAGAACTAGAAGGAGTGAAAGTGTAGGCTAAAGCTAAAATCCACACAACATAATGGAAATGTCTGAACCTCAAAAGAGGGACAGGAAGAGTATTGCAATATTGTTTTTGATTTTACGTGTCCTATGTGTATTAATATTGATTGCGACCGGGTGTGTTTTCTTGTTTATCTTTTGCAGGGCGCATTTTTGTGAGTCCGTGTTTGGCCATACTTTTAGGAATACTGGTCACCTGTGGTTGTTGTGTCATTCCTTGAGTCAGAGGATTGTTGGTAAAGGTAGTGGCAAGGGCAGTGGACCCCGGAGCGGTCGTTCCGGTGTTCCAGTGTCCATCGAGGAACTTAGATGCCTTGGAGTGGGCCAAGGAGTGATACAACACGAGGTGTGGTGACATTCCTTTTTGGAATGTCAAAAGAGGAAACGTGGAGATACAGAAGTTTTTATTGCTGCCATATAATCTGCATCATTATAACTGCATTAATAACATTCTTTACAGCATTATTCCATTTAATAATATTTCTCACGGTATTGATATTGCATTAAAGTTGTTTATTGAAGATGTCCATTTGAGGATCCTTCCATTATGTTAACTTTAATTACAAGTACGGTTAGAAGTATTTCATACACATTGCATATTTGTGCTTATTTTGAGTTGATGTTCGGTTCATTAAGGGTCTTAAGCTTCACTGGCGTGACTGTCCAGGTGATACATGCTGAGGGAAACTGGAACATAGAAGGATAACTGCAATCATGCCTATATAACACATATAATCTAGGAATGTGTCAGGCCTGAGGGCTTAACTCATTTGGTGTCTTACTATATTTTACTCTACTTGGCAACAGATGACCAGAGTCTGTAATTAGCCCCAGAGGTCCTGAGGGCTTGAAGTTTATTACCTTGTAGAAAATAGAAGTTCTATGTCTGCTTATAGCTATTAAAGATGTACAAGATCTACGATTGACTGTGACTAATGTCTGGAACCTATTTTAATCTGTAATTGACGCCATGGGGGGGCGTGTACCCCACTGCTTTATAAGTATCCACAACATGTATTTTGGTCAGAAGACATATGCTGATGTTTTCTCCGGGCTGTTAATAAACTCATCGTTTGATTGCACTTTTCTGGGGCCTCCGTGGTTTGTCTCACTGCTCTACATTGATCGATTTCGCGACAACCTCTATTTAAAGATTGTGAAATCATTATGTAGTTTTAGCTTGCATTATACTCCTGACCAGAGATGTAATCCGATAACTTTTTTCAAGTAACGACTAAAGTAAGGGAATACTATTGCAAAGAAGGTAATTAGATTACTGTTACTTTCCCATAAGCAAGCTGCGTTACTAAAACCGTGGAGTTTTTTGTGAGTGTCTAATGACAATGACGTTCGTAGCAACAGCTGTGTGCAGATCAAAAATGGATAATATATCGAGTGCGGGAGAGAGTATGAGCGTGTAGTGTTTAAAGCTTGGAAGTACTGACCTTACTTTGAGTTTAATTCTGTAAAAAGTGACAAAAACATTAGCGTCTGCTGTTCACTGCGTGGGAAGAAAACTTCTTTTTGCAGCGAAAAAACCTCTAAACTTCCGAGCAAGCACCGAGTACGCTACCAGGGAATGGGAAATTCACAGACAAACTTGCGAATTCTTTCAATGACCGCTGCGGCACGCCTGCACCAGGGCAAACCTCTGCCTGCCCCACTCCTGCTATAAAGGTGAAAATAGAGCAACAGGACTGCTAGTCTGTGATTTTATTTATTTTCTGCTGTTTTACTTGCATCTATTTGAAAGACTGAGTGTAAACACAAAAACCTATTTTATTTTATTTGCGGGAATGTGCAGAAAATAGGTTTAAATGTTAAACAAATTTCTTCCAGTCAGAGAATGTTGCATATAATTTAAGTTTGCTTGATGCATAAAGTTAAAAGATTAAAACTAATAAAAAGAAATTTTAAAAAGAGACTTTTTTTTCATTTGATTACATTTTATATAACCTTCTAAGACCCGAACTCTTCCACGGCATGCATTTTTAATTTCTCTTTGATATTTGGGCTGATTGGGACCCGATTAATGTAAAAACAAAGAATTACCAGATTTTTTTTTAACCTTATTTTTGTTTCTAAGAAAAATGAGAGCCACATATGAGGACATTTGCTTAAAATTTCGATAGAACAGTGGCAGTATAATGTCCTCGTAAGTGGATATCAGGCCCTTGTAGTGCAAAATTGAGTCTTTTGGTCTTGAGCCACTGGGCGATTGTGGCTCAAGAGTTGGGAGTTCGCCTTGTAATCGGAAGGTTGCCGGTTTGAGCCCCGGCTTGGACAGTCTCGGTCGTTGTGTCCTTGGGCAGGACACTTCCCCCGTTGCCTACTGGTGGTGGTCAGAGGGCCCGGTGGTGCCAGTGTCCGGCAGCCTCGCCTCTGTCAGTGTGCCCCAGGGTGGCTGTGGCTACAATGTAGCTTGCCATCACCAGTGTGTGAATGTGGGGACTAGTAAAGCGCTATAAAAATACAGGCCATTTATCATTTTTAGAATTTAAATAACCCAAAATGTGATGTCCACTTTTTGGGGGAAGTAATCAGTAATTAGTTACTGGAATTGCCTGTAACTGCATTTGTGCCTGCATAGCAACAGTTGATGAAAACGTGTTAAAAAATAAGCATGAAATGAACAAGTCAAAAGGAAACATCTGGAGGGTGAGACTGTTGAAACAAACAGCCATGTATGGCAAAAAGTTGCGGATAACGGAAACTTATTTAACTGTCATTAACTGTAACTGATGCATGTTATATTCTTTGCTGGCTCAAGAAGGGGCTGAACCCTGACATATTAAAACCATTTTGAAGTGTGCCTTTTATACATCTTCCCACGTGTGTGTTTAATAAAATAATCATTTGACTGAACTCATTTGGGCCAGTGCTGGTTTGTTCTTATCCTCAATATTGAAGAATCACGACACCATCCAAAGATAAATAAAAGGTCACTTGCCAATTCTGAAAGCTCGGTTGTTTATAAAATAATATCATTCAGACTTTAAATGGGAACGTTAGGATCCTGACCTGAGAGTTTCTAGTGTACAATGTGGACTCCGCAGTGCAGCAGACAGAAGTTTCACTCCTGAATCCCGCAGGTTATTGTAACTCAGGTCCAGCTGTTTCAGACTACAGGACTGGGAGATGAGAACTGAGGAAAGAGCATCACAGCTTTTCTCTGAGAGGTTACAGCCACTTAGTCTGAAAACAAACAAACAAACAAATTAATTAAATCAGTAAAATGAAACCATCTTTTTTAAAAGCCAGCATGCAATACAATCAATGATTAACTAGACAGCTTGATTAGAACACAACTGTCCTTCTATATCAGCACTTAGTCCTTGTAAACTGCACCTGCTCCACCTTCTGAATCAGAAGACATGAAAACAAACTGTAAATCTAGAAGAAACATAATTTCTGACTCGTAATTGTAAATGTAATCTTAGATCCATTTGTACATTTTAGAGCCTGATACTAAAATATAGCAGTGGACAGCAGGGACATTCACAGCAGCAAGATTACAGAAGATGACTCGGTTCAGTAAATATTATACTCATGCTGTAAGGAAATACGAAAGGTAGGTAAAACTGGTTGTTGCAGCCATCCAGTAAGACATGCTTTGTACTGCTGCAGTTTGTGACACCTGGTGGATGAGTTGTGAAGGATGATGAAACAAACACTTCAGTCAATGTTTTTCTTCTAAACTGGATGTAATTTTGGCAGCCGAGTGTATTTCACAGTCTATCCCAGGAACCAATCAGAACACAACAAATAAATAACTTTACCCACTTGGATCCTTATCATTCAAGATTGCAAAAAGATTCTCAGAGAATATGGTGATTTTAGATGAGAGAGATGATTTGGAAGATGAAGAAGGGGAAGAGTTTTCAAAACTTGAGGCATTTTGTCTTCACTGTATAGGACAGAGAAGGCGGACAGAATGACACACAGGTATGGTCTTGGGCAGACTCAAACCCAGGCCCTGGAGTCACACCTCTAACCTTCAGTACACGGGTCATTGCTCAGCCGGGTAAGCTGTAACAGCAGTGTGAGAGTTAATTTGAAGACAATGATAAGAATGATGAAAAGAGCAGTTTGGAGTGAGGGGAGAGAGCAGGCCAAAAACAAAAAAGAAACAAAAACACACTGTGGAAGACAGAGGCAGAGTTTAATCATCATTTCAATTCAACAGCAGAGCATGAACACATGGAAAGTGGAGAAAGGTGGGTGAAGAAGTAATGCTCAAGACACCCTGAGAAGCGCCCAAAAAAGTAAGCTTAAATAGTGCAACTAAGGATGTTTCTATGGCTGCAATGATTCACTGAGTAATGCAAAAGCTTTGTTTAATGCATGAGCCGCCACACATGGAAAAGACGGTGTTTCACCAACATTTGCTACTAAAAATAGACCAGAAATGTATCTAGGAGTATCTAGTATCTAGGTATGCATTTGAATATAAAGTATTACAACATTAGGCACATGCAGCCCCAGTTTTTTAAAAAAGAGTGATAACACAAAAGCAGCAGTGATGATCAGAGTTTATGGTGGATTCAGCATCTCAAGTACAACGAGTTCTTGAGCCATTAAAGACGTTACAGTTGTATTGAAGAAATTAAAAAAAAATTATGATACAAATTCATACAAAGACAGAAAGCCTGCAGAAATAAATCACTGACACAGTTGGATGTTAAGTAAAGACATGAGTACAAATGTACTTACAGAGCTTTGTAGGATGCTTTGACCACTGGCAGCATTCTCAGAAGAGCCTCCTCTGAAGCAGAGTATTTATTCAGGTCAAACACATCCAGATCTTTTTCTGATGACAGTAAGATGAAGACCAGAGCTGACCACTGAGCAGGAGACAGTTTATCTGTGGAGAGCCTTCCTGATCTCAGGGACTGTTGGATCTCCTCCACTAAAGAACGATCATTCAGTTCATTCAGACAGTGGAGCAAACTGATACTTTTCTCTGCAGACAGATTCTCACTGAACTTCTTCTTGATGTACTGGACTGTTTTCTTATTGGTCTGTGAGCTACTTTCTGTCTGTGTCAGCAGACCTAGTAGGAGACTCTGATTGGTCTGCAGTGAAAGACCCAGGAGGAAGCGAAGGAACAAGTCCAGGTGTCCATTTGGACTCTGTAAGGCCTTGTTCACAGCACTCTGGTGAAGAGACTCTTTTTTTCTAAAAAAGCTAGACCGCTTGGAGTTTGTTTGTTGTTGTTCCAGCAGATTGATTCCAGAGTTGATGAAGGTCAGATGGACATGAAGAGCAGCCAGAAACTCTTGAACACTCAGATGAATGAAGCAGAACACCTTGTCCTGGTACAATCCTCTCTCTTCTTTAAAGATCTGTGTGAACAATCCTGAGTACACTGAGGCTGCTCTGATATCGATGCCACACTCTGTCAGGTTTGATTCATAGAAGATCAGGTTTCCTTTCTGCAGCTGATCAAAAGCCAGTTTTCCCAGAGACTCAATCATCTTCTTGCTCTCTGGACTCCAGTGTGGATCTGTCTCAGCTCCTCCATCATACTTGACCTTCTTCACTTTGGCCTGAACCACCAGGAAGTGGATGTACATCTCAGTCAGGGTCTCGGGCAGCTGTCCTCCCTCACTGGTTTTCAGCACATCCTCCAGAACTGTAGCAGTGATCCAGCAGAAGACTGGGATGTGGCACATGATGTGGAGGCTTCGTGATGTCTTGATGTGGGAGATGATCCTGCTGGCCTGCTCCTCATCTCTGAATCTCTTCCTGAAGTACTCCTCCTTCTGTGGGTCAGTGAACCCTCTGACCTCTGTCACCATGCCAACACAGTCAGGAGGGATCTGATTGGCTGCTGCAGCTCGTGTGGCTATCCAGAGGTAAGCAGAGGGAAGAAGTTTCCCCCTGATGAGGTTTATCAGTAGCACATCCACTGAGGTGGACTTTCTAGGGTCAGTTAGGATTGTAGTTTTGTGGAAGTCCAGAGGAAGTCGACACTCATCCAGACCATCAAAGATGAACACAACCTGGAA